GAGGACAGCCATCAAACCATCAACTATGAGGTACCTTGGATGTGAAAGAAAAATCATCTTCCATAGAAGAGACTCCAGAGTCAGTGACCCCCATAGACTGCAGCTCGCCAGGCTCCTCTGTCCATGGGATTCTCCAGGCAAGAACACTGGAGTGGGCTGCCATGCCCGCCTCCAGGGAGGACATGGACTTGTACAACTGACCAAGGTGAATAAAAAAGGGGAAATACACCTAAACTTCTATGAGAACTTAAAAAAATCAGCTATACATGTTTAAGACAAGAGAACTTTGTAATTTCATGTGAAAAGATCAGAGATTAAAAGCAATTAAGAATAACTACCCTCAAAAGTGTCCTGGTCATGACTAACAGAGCTACATGTATATATTAAACTATGATAAGGAGAATTTGAACTTTATTTTTCAAAATTAAGATCAAATAATTCACATGTATTGTTATTTAATCAAATGTTAATTGGAGAAGAAATGCCTTTCTTTTATCTATGTTTTAAGCAACTTTTCATCAACAATAAAATGAAACATAAGTAGTATATAAATTTTTCTTTCATTAAACTTCTTAAAAAGGGGAAAAATCTTAATTACACAGCTTCAATATTATAAATGATAATAATTTGTGATTTGTTCTTTCCCTAATTAGGTAATAAGAGTTCAGTTCAGTCACTCAGTCGTGTCGGACTCTTTGCGATCCCATGGACTGCAGCATGCCAGGCTTCATTGTCCATCACGAACTCCCAGAGCTTGCTCAAACTCATGTCCATCGAGTCAGTGATGCCATCCAACCACCTCATCCTCTGTCATCCCCTTCTTCTCCCGCCTTCAATCTTTCCCAGCATCATGGTCTTTTCCAATGAGTCAGTTCTTCGCATCAAGTGGCAAAAGTATTGGAGTTTCAGCTTAGGCATCAGTCCTAACGTATTAAGACTCTGTCTGCTGTTCTAGGAGGGTTCATAATTTTCATCAATTGAAAAATATGAAAGCATATATTCTGAAATAAAGAAATAAATGAGGCCACCTTAAGTTACTTATTTCAATACCATTTTCCTTTAAAATTCATGAAATATTATTTCATTAGTGTTATGATGTTTAAATAGGTTAAAACTGGAAGAAGAAAAAAGTAAAACTGCCTCAGATTTTCCTCCATTTACTTCCTCTTGAGGGAGGATGGCTTTATGTTAGGTTTTTTGTAATATGTTTCTAAAGATTAAAATGTCCCAATTTTAACCATATATTACTATTTTTAAAAGAAGAAAACACTTTCAAATGCTTAAAAAAAAAAAACATTCTGCAAGTCCCTAATTTTTATTTTTCCTGTCATCAATATTATAAAACCTTTCCTTGACGATCAGAAGCTATAGGTATTGGTAAGCATTAACACAAATCCAGAGCATGTTCTTGTCTTTCTGTTTTCACATTACCAAACCTAACCAGGCATATCAAAATTCTCCAATTCACAAAGTACTCATACTACATAATCTGAGACTTTTGCAACCATGTATTTTAAAGTACTCATTGAGCCCTGAAAGCAAATGCTATCATTCAAGTTCTAATTACATGCTACTTGGGTTTTATAGAACAGAAAAATATAAATACTATACTTCCTGAATTCATTTTTTGACCACAAGCAACTTCCAAAATAAATGCCCAAAATACTTTCTGAATGTATCACTGTGCAAATAGCTCAAGCACTGGCCCATTCAAATTATGTTCTAGTTTCTCCTTATGCTGCTTCTAGTTGATAAATTAGTCAATAAATGCCAAGTCAAATATGCAAGTAAACATATTTTCATTGTTATTGGCAGACATATAATTAACTCTGAGAATAAAAGAAACAAGAAATCAATTTATGATTACTTCTTCAGTTCTTCCATTAGTCATTTACATTATAAGTGTGGTTCCACTTTAAAGATCTTTATACACACACACACACACACCCATGTTGACTATATAATAAATCAAATTATTTCAGTTATAAATTAGTACTGTATGAACTGTGAACCACATATGTTAATTGTATTAGTAAAAGCAATTGTATTACTACCCACATATATGAGCTGATTAAAAAGCAATGAGCATTCATGAACCTATATTAATTAGTAATTTCAACAAATGTTTCCAAACAATGCTAGGGATTTGCTCTTTCTTCTCTCAAATAAAACTATTTGAATCAGTTTTTTATGTATGTGTATATAGCAACAAACTACATTTCCATTTTCAGCAAAATAAGCTTTTAACTGATAAAATATTACAAAGAGTAAACCTACTATTTTCTAAAGATATTCAAGAATAAACCTTTTTTTTTCCTTAACATTTGTTATCTGCCAAGTCAATATATTCGCCAATCCAGGAAATAAACATTTGCTCAAAAACTTACATTACTATCCTTTTAAAAATATTGCCCTATTAAGGAATAATGAAAAAAAATAAATAAATAAAAATATTGCCCTAGACTAGATGCAAAAGCTTCAGACACTATTATATGTGAATTCCATGAAGAAAAAAGTTTAAGATGAGCTTTAAAAAATGTTTTAATAAAATACACTGCCATTACTCAGTTACTACTTTCATTATTGTCATTTATTTTATTTTTTGTCATTTGTTTTTAAATTATATACCATGAACAAGTCATTTAACCTCTCTTTTTCCTCCCCTAAAAAGGGGTATTAATGATGGTGCCTCATCACAGAATTCCCGACAGGATTAAAAGAGTTAATACAAGGGAAGCATCGAGAACAGTGCCCAACATAGAGTAAGTGCACAATAAGTGTTAGCTATGCATTACTTAATTGCATATGTTTTGCCTACTACTTGTATTAGCTTCTAGTTAACAATTCTGAAAGTATCTTAATTCTTTTTAAAGAAGAAATTAAGCTACACCATGACATTCTTAAAACTTTGCCCATGCCACCAGCTTTTAGAATTATTTTTAGCAGTTAGTTTATCTACTACTCACAGGCAAAATAGGACCTAAGGTCTCACTGAACCATATCTCCAAATTCTATTTTAAAAGACAGTACATCCTGAATAGTCATTGGAAGGACTGATGCTGAAACTGAAACTCCAATACTTTGGCCTCTTGATGCAAAGAACTGACTCACTGGAAAAGACCCTGATGCTGTGAAAGATCGAAGGCAGGAGGAGAAGGGGATGACAAAGGATGAGATGGTTGGATGGCATCACCGACTCGACGGACATGAGTTTGAGCAAGCTCCGGGTGTTGGTGATGGACAGGGAAACCTGGTGTGCTGCAGTCCATGGGGTCGCAAAGAGTCAGACATGACTGGGCAACTGAACTGAACTCTCCCTATTATCTCCCTTTTAGTACTCATTCGTTCAAAACACCAATGTATACTGTGTGTTATGGAATACAGGTTGTGGGAATAAAAGATGGTTAAGAAAAAAATTCCAAATACAGTGCCCACAAAAGAATGAGGGATACAAACATAAATACAAGTATGCTCTGTTGTTTAATGATAAAGTGATATCCCAAATGCGATGATAAAAATATCTTTCCAAGATGTACAAGGGAGGGCTCTTGGGTGGTGTTTGAACAAGAATTGAAAGGACGAACTGAAGAAGCTTGAGAGGTGGAGAAAGAATCTATGATTATTTTATCCAAAAAGAGAACTGGAAATTTCTCACAGTGTTACGCCTACTTGACTTATTTTAGCAAACAGACTTTCTCAGATTTCCCATTGCACACTGCTCACATAATTTATCTTCAGGAGTTGGATAAATATTTTTGTATGGCTGTCTACCCTCCACTCATAGCAAGGCTATGGGTGACCTATTTGGATGATGTGCTTAGCTCCTATCCTCCCAAAGCTCAAGAGAGATCTTCCAAAACCCACTTTTATCACACCATTCCCTGATCAAAATCCTGCAATGGTTTCCTCCTATTCCCAGGCATCAACTCCTGCTTTGTAGATTTCTCTCCACAAATGCCTTGCCTATGCCTCCCTTTTGTTCATATTCTCCCCCTGCTCCAAATACTTTTCTCTTACTATTATATTTCACTCTGCCTCTCAAAAATTCTATCCACATTTCAAAATCCACCCTTAAAATAACATCAGATTCCTTTGTTTCTGTGTAAAATAACAGAACTTTACAAATGCTGCAGAAAAGACTGAAATGCTAGTGGAAAAAAAAATGATTCCTCTGGATGAAAGACATGTCCAAAATGTGGCAGAAAACTGAAAAATAAATGGTAAGATGCAAGGAGGGTTCCAGACAGAGCAGACACATGTGTACCCGTGGCTGAATCATGTTAATGTATGGCAGAGGCCAATACAATATTGTAAAGCAATTATCTTCCAATTAAAATAAAATGTGAAAAAAAAGTCATTACAATAAAAAAGGTAGAGACTCCTTTGAAAGTCACATTCAACTGTTTCATCAACACAGCACACTTCTTAAATTATTTATTCTTCCAAACTTATTTCCCACACAAGCCACTTAATTGAATCATTCTTTTTCCAATGGCATTATGCTCTTTTGAAACGTTAACCATTCCACAACAGGGACAATGCATTCTTCATGACTTAAATTGGTTTCTGTAGAACAAATTCATGTTAGAGTGGAAGGTGTCACCAGATTCAGAACTTTAAATATTACCAGACAGCATGGAACAATGCTAACACAGTAGCATGCTTCATGATGGTGGGCGTGTGTGTGTGTCTGTGTGTGTCTTTGTACGTGCTCATACATGTCTGACTCTTTGTGACCTCATGGACTGTAGTCCGCCAGGCTCCTCTGTCCATGGGATTCTCCAGGCAAGAATACTGGAGTAGGTTGCCATTTCCTCCTGGAAGGGATCTTCCCCACCAAGGGATCCAACCTGCATCTGGTGGGTCTCCTGCAGTGGCAGGAGGATTCTTTATCATAACCACCACATGGAAGGACAACTAGTTAAATAGTATCATATCCTCAAACAGTCAAGTAAAAACACCTTTTCAAGTGATAATGAGCAAGTTCTGTATGTCAATACCTTAGATTCCAACTGAATTTTCTCTTCATTCAGCTGCTCTGCTGCTCTCTGGATTTTCTCACGACATCTGTTTATTTCTGACCTTACTGTAATAAAAAATTAAATGCTTAAACACGTCCATCTCTCTGGAGTCCCCATTCTGGTGCCTGTGATAAGACACCTTTCAGCTGCCTTTCCCCCACCCCTCACTGCTCTGCCCACTGCCCACGGCCTTCCCTGAAGTTCCAAGCCCCCAACTCAAACAGCAGAGGCCCTGACCTTCCCGCATCAAGCGGCGACTCTCCTCCGCCTGGTGCTCGGAGAATATGATGTGCTGGAACAAAGAATCCAGACTCATCTCAGGCTGCGCTCCTGCTGCTCCCGTCTTCGTCCTTAAAATATTTTATAACCGAGTCTGAGGACCCTGGAAAGCAGAAAGAAGCCTGATTCCAGGGCCATTCCTGGTTCGGCCTCCAGAGGCCTGTCCCCCGCCAACACCAAGTACGGGGCCCCTATGGGGTGAGGTGAGGCCCGAGGCTCCGGGGCCTCGACCACACTCCGGGCCTCCGTTTCCTCCATTAATTTGGACAAACTTGCTTTTTTTCCCCCTCCCGTGCGCCTTCGTTTCTCCTGTGACCTGTCTCAAACTGCCTTGTTCCCCTGGCTGAGCGCAGCTCCCCTCAGACAAGGCCTTGGCCCCGGTGTAGGGTTCTTTTTCGTTCTTGTAGAGGGTTGGGGGAAAAAAAAAAATGGAGTCACCGAGGCCTGAGCTTTGGAGCAGTTTGGACAGCAGCCTTTTCGGGGCTCGGGCTTTTCCTCTCATTCCCCTGCCCCCCAGTGCCCAGTCTCAAATAGAAAGTCCTCAAAGCAATCTCTCAGCAAAATACGTACCTGCAACAATATGGTGGGCTGGACACCTAGCAGAAGGCCTCACTTCGCGGGTCTCTGGGAACTGAGCCTACGGTGTCTCGTTGGGCCCATTACGCGTCATTCAGTTGTTTCGCTTGGTTCCGCTCTGGCTACGTGGCCCGCAACAGTCTTTAGGTCATCCTGGGAGTTGGAGTGATCTGTCTCCAAGGCACAAATCCAGTCTTATAATAAAGTACAAAGTATCTGTGATTCTAAATATAAACTTTTGCAAAGTCTTATCACTTGACGATGGGAAAGACGGCTATAAATGTACAATGTCTGACATTCGCCTTAATCATTCCTTTGTAATCAGGGCATATCTTTTTTGTCTGCTTTAAAATTAATCATTGCCTTCTGTAATCAAGCTGCGGTAATATTAACACTTCAATATCTGCGTAATATGTGTCAGAGACCAAAGTGGTTGCTAATTAAAGCTTAAACATGAAAGGCACCTTTGGGACTTTGGTATGGGATTTTTAAATTAAAAAATAAAATATTTTTAGTTTCAGTAGGTCAAAATATTAAGATTATAATAAACATTTGACTTTCTGTCTAAATGTTAAATTCAAAGTGGCTAAACTTTAAAGAAATGTATTAATATTAAGTAAAAACTGGTAAATGTAAATTCTGTCACATCATTTGTATAATAAACTTAATTAAAATTTCAATAATGCTATAGCATAATCAGTTATAAATGTTAACCTTTTTTCAAGACTTGTATGCAAAAACTTAATTTTTAAACTTTATTATAAAAAATACATACTAAAAAGTGTAATGAAGTAGAAAAGAATTTCCCATAAATATACAATTCAGAAGCAAAAGTTAGTAACGTTTTGGTTATTGCCCTTCAGGTAAGTCTCCTCACCATGCATTTGCATTTTTTCTTTACAAATGCACGGTGAATAAGTAATAATAATAGTTATTATCTGTTGAGTATTTCCCAGGTACTATTCTGAACCCTGTAAGCCCTTTCGAGATGATTTTTACTATTACCTTCAGAGCATAGTTGAGGAAACTGAGGCACAGAAGTTAAGTATTTTGCCAAGATTGCACATCTAGTATGTAGCAGAGCAAGATCTCAGATCAGAGGCCATAAATTTGATTTTGGGTTCTGCTCTTTTCCTTCTTATTACAGCACAAGCATTTTACCATTTCATTGAAAACTCTTTTATTAATGCATTTTTAGAACTTCATAATCCTCCATCATATGGATGCATGTGTAAAATTTACATATATTGAAATAAATTTGACTTTTATTTGTTCAGCGATGGAAAACAAAGCTGAAATTGTGGTGTGAACCATTTTTCTTTGAGCACTCATTTGGAGGCTTATGAACTGTGCCACAGCAACCATCAAAGGAAAGGGCTTCCAGAAGATAAATTATATTACTAATTAATATCACTCCCTTCAGAATGATTTCCTGTGGACTTGCAGTGGGAGCATCCTCACAAGGAGGCTGGTTTTCAAAAGCATGCTGCTCTTTAACATTCTAATTTTATTAGTTACACTCAAGCTCACATTTATTATTTAACATGCTCTTTCTGTGCTAAGACTTGGCAGAGAGAAATTTGGGCACTTTAGGGAACGCAGTCGCCTCAGTCACACAGGAGTATGGAATAGAACACAGTTGGAAATTCTGGGGAATGGGCATGGGAAATATGGCTTTTTCATCTTTTGTAGTCTTCTTCAGCTCTCAGAATATTTTTGTGCTTTTAAATCCCAAGTTTAAGTCTTCTTAGAGGTATCACAACTATAGGCTTTAGCAGGATTTTTAATTTTATTTATAGGCACAAACACAATTATGCAAGGTCACAATTCTTAAAAATGTTTCATAATAATGAGTAAAAGTAACATATTAAGATATTGCTGTCCTGTATCAAGCTTTGTTCAAGCATTTTCCATAGTATTAAGATATTTTTTCTTACAGATATACATGCTGATTACATTCTGTAATGTTCAGAGCAAGAGTAGCATTACTTAAATTTATGCCAAATAAAAATTATATGTGACATGGCAAAACTAGGGCATTCTATTTTCTGAAAATATATATTATAAGCCTAAAAAGAAAGATGATTCATTCAACAACTGTTTAATGAGTCTCTGCTATTCATTCAACAAATATTATTGAGCATATCCTATGTGACATATTAGAGAAACAACAACAGGATTTAATAAAAATAGAACTACATAAAAAGTATTTTTCTTCCCCTGGATATTTCTATCCTCATTGGAGAATTATTATATTTTTCAGCATCTTGGCAGCAGTATAAACAACTGCTTTCAGATGTTTAAACAGATGTTCTTTAGAAAGAAAGCCAATTATTTGTGTTATGATACCCACATATGATTCTCAGATCTAAACTTTCCATCTGTACATGTTTCACTGAATTGTGTACCTATGGAATATAAAAGTTGAGATCACTCACTGTCTCTCAACCTCATATTTTTGTTCATAATAACACTAGCACCTGGGTTATTGAGCCATCAATAATTGCTTTGCTAGAAGGCCTTATATAAGGCTATATTGCTCTTGTGATTTAAAATGCATTTCCTTTCTTTTCTTAGATTGATGACTTCCCTAAGTTCTAAACCAGGCTTGCAAATATCCACTAGCCCAGGGCATATATATTGCAATGAAAAGAAGAAAAGTAATTCATTTGTTTTATGATTTTCTTAGGGCATCTGCCAAAAAGAAAAAAAAAAATGTGGGTTCAACTAAGTTTAACAACCATTTATTGAGTATCTACTAAGCGTAAAATCTCTGGTAGGTACTATGAGGGATACAAAATTATAAGATATAGGCCCTGCCCTCCTGGAGGTCATAATCTATCAAGTGGGACATAGCAAGCATGACTCCTGGTAGGCTGTGTATGAGAGCTTCACGCTGATGTGATGGAAATATGGCAGGGAGGAAAAGAATGTCTGATGTAGGTGATCCAGGAAGACTTTTCAGAAGGAAATAAAATATGAGCTGGATTTTAAAGGAGGATGAGACTTCAATAGATAGCGTGTAAGGGAGAAAAAAAGCAGAAACTTAGATGATGCCAATTTTTGGACAGTGTTTAACTCTTTATCTATGTGATGGAGATTCCCGTAATGTTTGCTAGCTGGTGAGTGGCACATCAGAATTGCTTTACGCAGTCAATCTGGCAATGGGTTAGAAGCACTAGAAAGGAAAGACTAACAGTTAACATGTATTAATAACTATATTCCAACCACTGTTTGAGCCCTTGTCATGCTTTCATTAGTATAGTCAACCCAACAGTCCGATGAGATCAATGCTTTTATTATTTCCAAGTTAACAATCAGAGAAGCAAGTCAGAGAGAGCTCAAGTATCTTGTTGAAGGTCACATATAATACTAGCTAAGAAGTAACAGAGTCAGGATTTGAACCCTGATAATCTGTCTTGTCAAGGCTATGGTTTTTCCAGTGGTCAGGTATGGATGTGAGAGTTGGACTGTGAAGAAAGCTGAGCACCGAAAAATTGATGCTTTTGAACTGTGGTGTTGGAGAAGACTCTTGAGAGTCCCTTGGACTGCAAGGAGATCCAACCAGTCCATCCTAAAGGAGATCAGTCCTGGGTGTTCATTGGAAGGACTGATGCTGAAGCTAAAACTTCAAATACTTTGGCCACCTCATGCGAAGAGCTGACTCATTGGAGAAGATCCTAATGCTGGGAGGGATTGGGGGCAGGAGGAGAAGGGAACAACAGAGGATGAGGTGGCTGGATGGCATCACCGACTCGATGGGCATGAGTTTGAGTAAACTCCGGGAGTTTGTGATGGACAGGGAGGCCTGGAGTGCTGCGATTCATGGGGTCGCAGAGTCAGATACGACTGAGCGACTGAACTGAACTGAATCTCTTAAGGCAAACACTTAATCACTTCATCTACCGCCTCCAAAAATAAAAGGCTGGAGAAAATGAGACAATTTCATCAGCTCTGTTAATATTTCAAGACAGATACATTTTCTAAAAAATACTTACCATCAACAAATTAATGTCATATTTTTAAGACACCTTTCAGATTTCTAGAATTTGGATTAGTAACACAATGCATCTATAACAAGTTAAAATCAAATGTGATATAAAGCAAAATAATTGAAGATGGATCACTTTGTTATAAATGTTTATTTAACCAGCTACATATTAATACATAAAACTAAGAAATGAAATTATTAAACAAACTATTTGGTGAAGAATCCACCTGCAATGCAAGAGATGTGGGTTCGATCTCTGAATCGGGAAGATCCCCTCGTTGTGGGGGGTGGTGCATGGCAACCCACTCTAGTATTCTTGTCTGGAGAATCCCATGGATAGAGGAGCCTGGCAGGCTACGGTCCCTGGGGTCACAAAGAGTCAGACACGTCTGAAGAGACAGCACAGCATAGCACATACGAAGTATCATATTAGTTTCTTAATATTTTTATTAGATTCCTACAGCTGCTAT